GGACTAAAGCTACCAATGCAATGTGAAATATACACGAACGGAAAAAGAAAAGTACTGAATGCGAGTAACAAAGTTAACTTATAAATGAAAAGTACTTCAATTTTCAATTTCAGATCATATTGTTTGCAAGATTTGGAACCAACTAAAAATTTGTGTTGTTGTTCTTTTTATTGCCCACAGAAACAATACTAATATTCTAGTATGTACATACAGAAAATTGAATGCGTTTCAATGCAAATGATCTATAAAGCGAAATATTGAAACAACACAATGGTTTTCCACTCTGTTTTTGTGTGTAGAAATAATTGGGAATTTCTGTGCCCTTTGCACGGCAATGGAGTTTCAGCCATCGGACCTGACTGAGTCGATTCTAGTGCATGCGTTGTTTGTTTACTGGGCATAAATAAAGTAAACATTCTCTATCACACACACACGCACACACACATTCGGAGTGGTGCAATGTAATCAAGGGCTATCGCATTGCGTATTTGAAAACTCGAATGCAATCTTGGCCAATGGGCGAGTGTGTGTGTGTGTGTGTTGGTACAACGCCTGCGCTTGCCTGTTGTTGAAGCTATGCGAAGTGCTTTGCCTGGTCAGTGACCGTAGCTCTGTGGGGCTTATTCAACTGGTGAGTGCAATTGTCGGTTATTGGCGCCCGGGTGCACACACGAATGCGCCTCAGGCGACTGCAGCACGGCCAGTGACTGCCAGAGCGAGTGACATATTGCCTGACGGCGCTGGTTGAATGATAATGGCAGGTGAGCCAACACCTGCCGTCATTTGCAACTTTAGTTCACAGTGCCGACATTAATGCCAACTGCACGAGCCACTGGCTGGCAGTAGGCAATATTCATATTTTAATGGTTAAGTCTTTGACTCAATTAGCAACTGGTCAGCAGCTATACGTGTGTGTCGGCTGGAGCTGACATAGATGTCCCCACAGGATAATCACTGTAAACTGTGGCCATTTATTCATATGAATTTATTCAAATCAGGGCATGGCCAGCAGCAGAAGACGGCCAACCTCCCAACGAGCAGGCATTTTGTTGTGGCTCTGTTGAAGCTAAACTATTTTGCATTTAGACCAGCTAGCGCTTAAACCAAAGCCATAGCCATAGCCGTAGCCGTAGCCGTAGCTGAAGCCAAACCCAAACCCAAACCCAAACCCAAAGCCACAGGCACTGGCACAGTCGATGCCAAACGCTTCGTCCTGCGCCAAATACGTGCCAGTTACTTGCATTCGCTACATGCGCGAGAACCTCTGTGTGTAGGTGTGTGTGTGCGTGTGTGTGTGGGTGTTAGTTTTCGGGTATGGGCAGCTTTGTTCACATGTTTTCACTTGCTGCTTAATTTGCATTTAAATGGTTTTTGCACTTAGGCTATTTCCCGTGTAAATGAGCTTTGTTGGCTGTTGTTGTTTCTGAGCTTGTTTTGCCATTGTTGTTGTTGCTGTTAGTGTTGGTGTTGTTGTTTCCTCGGCCCACTAAGCAAGCCAGTGCTAGAGGCCGAGCTTTTGTTTTATATAGGCTTAACTTGCATTTTACCAAGGACACATGCCACTTCCTGGGCCCAGTAAGCTAACATTGTGCGGCTGCACGTATTATACAATATATGTACACACTGTATTACAATGCTCAGGGCCTCGCGACGCCTCGCCCTGCCCGAGTCGATGCTGCTGGGATGTAGTCAATGACCTTTGTTATTTCCAGTCACTTAAGGCATTCCCAGCACTTGGCAGTTCCAACAATTTTGCGCTTTGAAACTTGGCCAGGTAATATCATAATAAGATTAGAGTGTTTAAGCCGTGTATTTGATGTAATCTTAGACTTCCCTCTAAGCTATCAAAACACTTAGTATCATACTGCGTGTAATCCGAAACCACTCACCGGTAATTTGCAGAGGACCTTTATGAAAACCAACGATATGGGGGTATGAAGCTTACAAATTCATATATGTATATTGTTGTAAATGATGTAAATTTTGAAAATGAATCAAATCATTTGCGTAAACAAATTATAATTGCCAACACATGGTAAAATTTCGAGTAATTAATAACAAAACACTTGAAAAATGTAACACAAATATTTATAGTTTTAATTGATTGCAGCATTAATATCTGGCATATCTTTGATTATGTTTGCACAATGAAATAACGTCGCAAAAATAATGAAATCTGTGAGTCGGCGATGGCAAACAGACGCGGAATGTATACTATGTAAAATATTAAACGCTTAGCGCACACTGTGTACATTTGCATTTGCATACACAAATACGGAATATAATAAATATTTATCTATGCATAACGGGACATATATGTGTGTACGTTTCCTATTTTTGGTTGTCCGCCCAAATTGAATAACAGGAAAATGTTATTTGTAGAACTGTGACATTGCCCAGTGTCGACCGAGCCCTCTGCCCTTCATCTTTCGGCTGGCTGGGATTTATGTAAGTGACATTTATCATACGCCAAGTTGGCACTGAGCTTATCGATTGACTGCATGGCTGCATGACGGCTGGATAAGGAGGAGCAGCAGGAGACCAGCAGGAGGCGCAGGAGGAGGCACATAGACGGCAAATTGTCGTGGGCAGCACAGTCAGCAAATTAACACTGGGTATCAGCCACGCCTTTTATGACTTAATAGCTGAGCTGACTTGTATAAAATAAGTATGTCAGTTAGCAAACATTGACCGAGCGGAGAGACCATGTTCCCATTTAGCACACTGTCAACTTTTGTTGTGGTCACTAATGATGACAGCCGCCCAGCCAAAACATCAACACACACTCCAGCTGACACACACAAACACTCACACACACACATATCGGTGTAAATATCGTGTGTGTGTGTGGGTGTTGGGGTATCTGTCTGCTTTTGTGGATAACGCCAACTGCCGACTGCAAAATGCACAAATAGTCCTTGGCTCTCGCATGCCACAATGGTGTAGCCGTGACTGCTCCCCCCGCCTGTTACCGTCTCCCCTGTATATCGGGGCCCGACTTTTGTAGGTAACGAGCGGAGCGTCAAAACAAGCTGATTTGATTGTTTGTAATTAAAAGTGGACGCAGCGAAAATTAAATGACTGTCTACAGGACACAACGTATCTGCATGTGTTTGTGTAAGCCATGATGCACATAAAAGTTGATGTCCACGTGCTTGGTTCCTGCTTTCAATTTAAACTCTGAAACCTAATAAAAAATAAGTGAGTAATGCAAGCTCTGTGTGCTCTACGTGCCACGACCTCGACGACAGTATAAAGCTGTAGAAAAGCGCACGGGAAAATTAAATCCCGATTGCTTGAGAAAACTTTCCCGGGTAGTTTATTTGCGTTGTGCCTAACGACTAATTGATACGTCGCAGCACTGTCAAAGGGTCTTAAGGGACTTTACTCACTTAAAGCTGAGCCCACATCGAACCAAGAGATAGATGTCTGTCAACATATGTATTAACAGCTATGAGTAATTGGCTGGTTGGTGACAACTAGAGGGAGTGACTGTCCAAGAAAAATAACTGTATATAAAAGCAATGTATTAGTATAGAGAAGGTCAAAATCTTTGCCGTATGGGATATGGTATATGATTTCTATATATTCATAAATAAATTCCAAATATAGTACAATAGTAAATAGTCATTCTCTAAGAACTCCAGCTCAAGTCTCTGGAAATACAATGTTTATTTTATTTATTTATTGACATCAACTGAGAGAGCGAGTTAAAGTATTTATATTAATATCTATATTTACATTCAGCAGTGGAAACGCCAGTTGAACCAAACCCATAGACAAAATATGTTGCATGCTTAGATTCCGCCCATTCTCAAATAATAAATTATCGGGGCAGCGCTTCCCTGAACACTTAGTTCTATTTGTACTAATTATAGCCATTAGTTGTTTGTACCTTTAGCCAATTAAAATATATATAAATTATATACCCATCAAAACATGAGTCCTATAAATAATTCAAGCAAACAATGCACGGTGGTCCAAATGCTAAGAATAAAATATTTATTTATTTATTTATGGGTCACTTTATTATACATAAAATTTCGGTATAAAAAATTGTAGTGTTTAACATATTTAGGTTAAGAGTATTATAATACAGTCTGAGAGAAACTGTATAGGGACAGAACTAGACTTCTATATCGTTTCTATTGCCTATTGAACGTAAAGGAAATGAAATGAAATGTTTGTTTCAAGTTGAATAGGAGACATAGTTCCACTGATATTCGACGTAGAAGTTACACCAAAGTCTGCGGGAGGCTTTGAATAAACTGGGGTAAACCGCAATCGACACCGCAATAAAAACCGAAATTAAGGCAATAATTTACATGAAACATAATTGTTTAATAGAATTTTAAAGCTTACGGTAATTAGTGGCTTGATAGCCCGAGATACTATTTAAGACCAATTTACATTCCTTAACTTTGATAATCGTTAAAATGTCTGCTAGGCCAATTATAGAGCTAAGTGCTTGTTAGCTCTTTGTTTCAAGCGAAATAATATCTGGACAAATTATTGTATACTGGCCAAACCTTTGGCAACTCGGAAAGCAATCAAAACAATGGGGCATTGGGGTTGCTGTCTACCGCATTTAATGCATTTGAAAAGGCCACTTTGGCTGCACAGGCATTGAGGTCAGGGGTCAGAGAAGGGGAAGCGGAGGAGAGAGGGGGTAGCGACCATTGGCAGGCAATTGGCCAAAGGAGCTTCAACAGCCTGTTGCTTCTACGTTGGCTAAGAGCCGGTTCCAGTGAGGACTAAGTCAAAGCCTGTTGCGGTAGAGCAACAACTGTCTGGATAAAAGAGAGCCAAAGCTCGTTCGCTCGCTCGCTCTCTCGCTCTCTCGCGCTGGGCTGCTGGAAAGCTTTTGCTCTCTTTGCGGCGTTCGTGGTATGGCCAACGCTGGTCGAATGGAAGCGCTACTCCCACAATGTGCTCGTGCGTGGTGTAGGTGTATGTATCGTGTCCGTCGATTTTCCAGCCTCGTCGGGACTCGGCTGTGACAGTTCAGTCTAGGATAAACGGTTACGGCGGCCACAACACGAGCGCGCGTGCGATTAGCCCGAGTTGGAGCCTTTCAAAGAGTCAAACAACGGAAGAGAGCACTACCACCGCAAACGTGTTGCGTAGTGTAAAGTGCTGCGAAAGCGAAAGTGCAAACCGAAACACACCGTCAAATATTTGTGTGGGTGAAAGAGTGTTAAAGTGTGTTCTGGGGAGTTCTCCCGCACGCAAATGTGAACGCAGCAGAGCCCCAGCCATATTTCTCACGAAGCACAAGAAAAATGCAACTCCACTTATATTTGGATCAAGGCAATCAAATCGAATAAGTTTTGTGTGCTAATAAAGGCAAATCGTGACGCGTTTTCAATTGGTGCCAAAGCAAATCCATACAAATAAATGTTAAGCAAACACCACCGACTTGGTCAATTCAATCCAATTCAATTACCTATCCCAACATCAATTGTGTGAAGATAATCAATTAGAAATATTCATTTTGAAATCGTATCACTTGCGACAGCGACAGCAACGCGAGCTGATCAAATATATTTTCCGAATAGTTATTTGCAATTTGAAAAACCTCTAAATCGCTATCAAGAATTTGCAGCAGCTGCAGCGCCCACCACAACAGCAACATCGGAAAAATGTTTAACTTTTGGATAATCGTTTTATGTCTAGGATTACTAGCAATTAAGCCAACAAGTAAGTTCAATAGGATTGCGAACAAGCTCTTTGTGATCTTTGTCAGTGGATTATAATTAAACTTTAATTGAAACAGTTGCTCCATGCTGGTGCAAAAAGTGCTAAATTTGTGTCGAAATATGTGTCACATAGTGAAATAAATCCACCAACATTGTTGACTTCATGCGACTTTTTCATTTGCCAGTTTTTATGGTTATTAGTCTGCAAACTTTTTATACGCCACGCCAAAAATTCCATTATTACTGTTGTCAATTACCAACTTCTATTTCATAAACTGTGTCAACAATATATATATTAAATTTATAGAAGTTGGTTATTTACAAAAGATATGAAAGAATCTTTAGCGTGATAGATATATGATATATGTTTAATATACTAATATAATCTAATTCTTGCCAATAAATTTTGGAAATTTTTCATTTGAAGTGCGACTATTCTTAGTGTGTAATACTTATGTAATCCTTATGCAGATTATATAGGTCAAGTTGAGTCTAAATCAAAAGATCTGTTTATATATTGATTTAAAATCATTTCAAGCATCATAATTAATAATATTTATATATAAATTTGATTTTCACCATATTTTTGAAAGATTATGCAATTATTCAATATTAAGAATGTTAGTTTTAAATGATTAACTTTTACCTTATTCTATAAATTAAAACTAAAAAATGTTCTACACAGTAGGCTGCATCTGAACTCAATTCAGTAAACTCTGCTCGAAACGTGCAAATTTAAAAATTACAGCTGGCAACTTGTTAGAATTCAGTCTGAGAATTCACATTCAAGATAGTGGAATATGACTACTGCACTAAATATCGAATTAAAATATAATTTTTAAAAATTATTCAATTTAAATACACATATTTATCGTATAAAAATTTGTTTAGCTAGGAAGATTTTCTGCCACCGACAATTATATTCTGCTTATAATTGTAAAATAAGACCTTTTTATTTTATTCGAGTGATTCTGAATTGCAATGTCAAAGTTTCAATCGAAAGGTCGAGTTTGTGTGAAGGGTCGACATTTCGTTGCCAGAGAAGGCTAGTCAACTTGACAACCATTTGTCAGAGAATGCTATAATAGTCAGGTCAACATACCAGCTAATAGTCATAGAAGGCTATTCTATTTTTATGCGAATAATTCTCTGACATTACCCAATCCTTAACTTGCCAGCTAAATGACATAAAAGGTTTACTCTGACATTATCTCAGTCCTTAAATTATCCGCATGATTTATCTAAGAGCATGTACAAATAGTTTGCATTTCACCGCAATTTCTTTGGTTATATAAAACCGCAAATACCGTAAGATTTTTAAATAAGCAACAGTGGAGAATGTAAGTATGCTACTTTTTGCCGTAATAATGTAAGCAAGCGGATGGCTTATTTAAGTTGCATATTTATGCAATTGCTTATTGTGTAATCCGCCTTAAGCTACTGCAGCCAAGCACAATTTGAATATCAAATGCCAATAGCAGACTCCCTGCCCTCAGCCGGGCTTTGTTCGGGCTTTGTAGCAGCTCCTCGCCTCCTAAACCACCGAGGTATTTATAAAATTCTCCATTTTAGTTGAAATATGCATAAGCAATGGAGGCAACAGCAAAGCCTTCTAGCTAATTGCAAATGGCGAGCAGGCATGCAAGCAGCAGAAACACCTGCTTGTTACCTGCTTGATTTCCATCCCCCTTGCCATCCACGGCAATGCAGACGTGGGAGACGTGTTGCTTTTCTTCAAAGCCGACTGACCTTGCCCAATGGAATGTCACGCAGTTGGTCAGTGCTGCTCCTTTGCTTGCTGCTCTTGGCTGCTGCTCCTGCGGCTACTCTGTATTTTTTCATAAGCCTCATGAATAATTCAGATAGCACGCTTCGATTATTTACTTCATAAACATTCTGCTAGAGTCATGCTTGCCTGTGTGAGAGTACACCTACATATTCTATGAATAGAACATACAGGTATGCTTCTTGACACTGCGGGGGCAATACAGGTTTTTAATTTTTTAAATTGTTTTGTTCAGGCCGGCAACATGCAATGTAAATTTTTTATTATACAAAATGCCTTTTAGTTATTTACTAAGCTGTTAGGCGGTCGGTCTCGGATTGCTTGCTATCTGCTCGGGAAATTGATGGAAAATGCCGATTGGCGTAGGTGCATATCTGTCGTATGCTTGATTTGATTACTTAACCAATAAGTGACTTTGGGCTGACTGGGCACATTAATTACATCAGCTAAAAAGTATGTCACGAAATTAAATTTAATTACAGCTTCATTTGAGGGCAAAAGTTAATCAAAAACTCAATGAGCAGCTGATAAAAACAACAGCCCCGTATCTAGTACATGTTGTCGAGGCAACGTAATCGGTGAAAAATTAATACGCCGAAGAGCAGCAGCAGCAGGAGTAGCAGAAGCAGCAGCAGGAGTAGCAGAAGCAGCAGCAGGAGTAGCAGCAGCAGGAGTAGCAGCAGGAGCCTGCCAGCCGCGTCGATGAAGCAACAAGGAACGGTGAAAGTCGTAAAGCACGTTTGGGTCGTATTACACCGCCAATGGCTGAGATAGGAGCTAGCAGCGTATAAATTGTTGCGTTGCGACAGTAAAATCAATTTCAAGTCGTTAAGCGAAATGAACCTTATGAAGAGTTTTCTTTCTATGGCTGGTTTTTTACGGAAGTGAAAGTTTATCAAATCCACCACACACCACACACCACACACGCGCACACAAGCACAGAGGTGCCATTAGCAGGCCTGATCGTTGCCTCAACTCTCGATGTGTAATCGAGATATAGTATCGGCAGCTGATGCGATTATTATTGATTTTACTTGAACTAAAATTGGTTGGATTGAATTATTTATAGGTAGGAGCGATTAGAGTCAAGTGTTCTTATGGCCAGCAGAGAGGTTAGCAGAGAGGCTCCCAGAGGCTAATTGCATTGAAACTGTTATCGGGCAAAGGTCAGACGTGACGCTCATAACAATTCCATTTGATAATAAGCATCTTTGCTGCCAACTATTTGCTTAGCTCTTGAATTCAGATTCAATTTACAAATTTTAAGAAAATATAAATCAATTTGCCTGCACAAACAGAGAGCTGTCCCATGAAATTTACATCCATGCAAATATTATGCCAAACGCTGGCTGCCACAAAAGCAACAGTGCGTGGGGGGAGGATGGATGGCCTTCACTGCATATGCTTAATGTGCGCACATGTCCATATAAATGTAATAGTTATAAGAGCCACCAGCAGCCAGCAGAGGCAGCAACAACAACAGCAACAACAACAACAACAACAAAAGCGAAAAGCGACAAGTGTGTGTGCTCAGTGCAACCTCAATGGCAGGTCTAGCCACAGGCAAACTTAAGTTGTGAACACGAACACATACTCACAGACACACACCCACACACACATAGAGTCACTCAAGGCAGAGAAGCGGGGCAGAGAGATGATTTTGCCTGAAGCTGAGTGACTAACTGGCTGTCAGACTTGGTGACTGTCTCTGGCCAGAGCCGTCTTTCTGTCTGTCCATGTGTTTGTGTGTCTCTTTGCCTTCCGGCCCGGTTGCCTGACTGGCTGGCTGCCTGGCTGCCTGACATGTGACGACTTTGACAATCCAGAGGAGGCCGTCGCCTGCAAACGACCCTTGCCGTGATTTTAACTTGCACAAAGACGCTTTTCGCATATTTAATGAAACTTTTTGGCCGACAAACTCTTGAATAGACCAACTCGCGACTTTAAAACTTAACGCCGCCAATACATAAGTGCTCAGAAGTTGTCAATAAATTGTTGCCAAAATATGAGCGCCACGGGCAAAGTTTGCCCAGCTTAGAGTATCGAAGTTAACTTGAGTGGCTAAAATCAGATTATAGAAAACATTGGCACACATGCACCCGGTTAGCCGTGTCTCTAATGTTCGGCAATACAATTCAGTTATGCTGCAGGTATTAGACATTTGCCAAACGACTGGAACAATTTGGCACAAATTTGGCGCAAAGACAATCAAAAAGTTATAAAACAAGCCTCGGTAAAAACGAAAACAATGGAGAGCTGCGGCCCGAATTCCGCAAAGCTCCAATGCCAAATCCCCCAACTAGCGCACGGCCAGAGCGCAAATGATGCTGAGCTACGTCTGCTGTAGCTGCGGTGGTAGCTGGGATACGATCTTATTGGGAGCTCTGCCGTGTGTGTATCGAGCTGTAAAAACTTTGGGAAACTTTTCTTTTTTTTTGTTACTTGTCGGCTTTTGCTTGTTGTACCTGGAGCCAGCATTGCGTATACGCCACGTGGTGTTATTATCAGCCGCATCAGCGGCACCGTAAAGTAAATGCAAAGTGTGCAAAGTCTATAAACGAGCGGCAAACTTAAAAGCCCCAAGGTGGCAGCAAGGACGTTAGGGGCTTTAGCAGGATGAGGAGAGCAAGTGCGAGCGAGAGGCCAATACCATACTGAGGCTTATCCACAAAAGCAAAGGCACAGAAACAACTGGGCCTATCAAAAAGTTGCTCATACGACAAATTGTCAACTGCGTTGCTAGCAACAACAACAACGGCAACGAAACATGGAAAACGAATTTTATTTTTTTTAGCTTTTGCGATTATTTATATTATTTATGATGTTTTCGGCAATGTCGTTAAATTGAGGCCTTTAAAAAGGTTTCCGCATGTGTGGGACGGATGGCAGCTGCCCAAAGGCGCCACCGAACTGAAGAGAAAGATATTCTACAAAACAATTACATCTAAGTGCGGCACCTTAAATATTCATGAAGCGGAAAGTAATTGCTTAGATATCCCCACTCCAAAAATAAATAAATAAATAAAGCAGCCCACCACAAATTTTAATAAACAGTGTAGCTAAATCGACGTGCCCCAAATGCTATGCAAACGACAAAAACACTTTGCCCACAGCCAAGAGCTCGGCTATTTAGCGAAGCGTGCCTCCTGTCAAATGCACTAAATTGAAAACTATTAAAGTGTCAACAAATAATTACGCATGGCTGCAGCAGCAGC